CGGCTGAGCCTAGACAATGGCTGCTATTGTGTGTTGCCTGTGGCCCAGCAACCGGCCTCAGCTGCTGGGCCCACCAAGACACCCCCCCCCATACCCCTGGCCTACCTGGCAGGTCCCCCCAACACTTCTCCCCTCCACAGGCAGAGCACGACATGGGGAAACTGAGGCCCTGTGGCCAGGGTGGATGGCATACAGAATGGGGGACCCACATCCATTAAATACCTACCCTTCATGTGCTGTTTGTCCATGAATTCTCTGAACCCTCGCAAACCCCTACTGTGAGTAGAGGTAGTCATTTCCCCTCATACAGATGGGGAAACTGAGGCTCGAGGTCACCAGGCTAATAGGCTCTGGATAAAGCCCCTCCTTTCCTGCTCGGGGGAGGACGGTGGGCTGGCCCTGAGCCTGGAGGAGTGAGTGCCTGTGTAGGTGGAGGGGGCTCTGCACAGCCACCCAGAAGCACTCAAGGTCTCCTTGGCAGAAGCAGAGAGAGGGTGGGGCCCTTGGTAAGTTGGGGGCTCTCCTCACAGCAACGTAGAGCCAGATCCCTGACCCCCACTGTTGTCAAGGGCAACATGAGGAACACCCCTTATTCTCAGAGTAGCCCTGAAACTACCCTTTGGTCAGCCATGGCTCATCCAGCTTAGGACTTACGGACAATTCCAAGATGCAACTCTCGGAAGCCCATGTGACTTTCTCGATATAGACTGGAAAGAGGAAGCAAGCCCCTGGCCTCCCCTGTGCTCCATGGGTGCCCTGTGTCTGGTGACTAGGACCATCACTGCCAACATGCTGGTCGTACAAATGGAGAAACTGAGGCCCAGAGAGAGAGAGACCACTGCCCCAGGTCACACAGTGGGTGGCAAGCCCAGGACTGGAAGCCATGGGTGAATATTACAGGATAACAGTATCAACAGCCAGTTGTTGATAGTTGGGGAACGTGCTAGCATCTGTTCAGGCAGGTGCTCTTTCGTCCCCATTTTACAGATGCAAAAACAGAGGCTCAGGGAGATTAAATAACCTGTCCAGGGTCACACAGCTTGTCCATGGCAGAGCTGGGTTTTAAGCCCAGGTGAGTCCAGAAACTGTGTTCCCCATTAGCCTCTCCCTCCTGTGCCAGTGGATGTGGGGAGAAGCAGGCAAAAGGGCTCCAGCTTGGCACCCTCTCCCTGCCTAGGGGTTTGCCTGAGCTAGGTGCAG